TGACGACGACGACGGCGAAGACGACAGCGTCTCACACACGCCGAAGGGTCGGCTGATGATGATGGTGATGATGATGATGATGATGATGATGATGATGATGATGATGATGATGATGATGCTGATGATGATGATGATGATGCTGCTGCTGATCATGATGATGATGATGAAGCTGATGATGGTGCTGTTCTGATGCGGTTGTTGATGCTGATGCTGTTGCAGATGCTGATGCTCATGATGCTGAAGCTGATGCTGCTGATGATGATGATGCTAATGCTGATGCCGATGCTGATGCTGATGCTGATGCTGATGCTGATGATGATATGATGCTGATGCTGATGCTGATGCTGATGATGCTGATGATGATGATGATGACGACAACGACGATGATATGATACTGCTTGTGATTATGATGCTGATGGTGATGAAGGTTGTGGTGGCGTTGATGCTGATGTTGTTGATGATGATGAGTGTGATGCTGATGCTGATGCTGATGCTGCTGCTGCTGCTTCTCATGATGATGATGACAATGATTATGCTGCTGCTGATGATGATGCTGATTATGATGCTGCTGCTGCTGATGATGCAGATGCTGATGATGTTGCTACAGATGATGATGCTCATGGTGGTGGTGATGATGATGACGATGACGATGATGATGATGATGATGATGATGATGATGATGATGATGATGATGATGATGATGATGATGATGATGATGATGATGATGATGATGATGATGATGATGATGATGCTGCTGCTGCTGCTGCTGCTGCTGCTGCTGCTGATGATGATGATGATGATGATGATGATGATGATGATGATGACGCGTAGGAGGAGGAGGAGGCGGAGGAGGAGGAGGAGGAGGAGGAGGAAGAGGAGGAGGAGGACAAGGACGAAGAGGAGGGAGGAGGAGGAGGAGGAGGAGGTGGAGGCGGCGCAGGAGGAAGGGGACGGCCGTCACATGTGACACCCGTTGTCCTCTGTACTATTTGAGGAGCTTTCCTGGAACCTGTTTGTGTCGTCTTGTGGCTATCTCGGCCTCTTGTGAAGCAGTCTTGTATGGTCTTTTTGGGTCTTCCTTAGCCGTCCTGGGACCCTCTTAGGCTGTCTTTGGCTCTTGAGCCGTCTTGGGGCCCTATTGGATGCATGGTGGGTGCCTGGGAGCCGTCGTGGGGCCGTTTTGGCCCCGTCTTGGACAGTCGAAGGGTCTTTGAGGCTGTCTTGGGTTCCACGGGAGGCCATCTTGGGCGGTCTTATGGCCTTCTTGGATGCCTCTTGGGCCCTCGTAGGTGGAGGCATCCTAGGCCGTCTTATTAGGGCCATCGTGGAGGCTTCTGGGGCCGGCTTGAGCTGAAGGAAGCCCGCAAAGGCGAGAATGCGAACTTCATTCAAACATCAAGTGGGAATCGATGGTTTGGGCTGCTTTGGGCCCTGTTGGAGGTCCTCTCGGGGCCCTCTTGGGCTCTCTTTGAGGCACCTTGGCCCATCGTGAGGCCATATCTGGCCGCATTGGGGCCATCTTGGCCCGTCTTCCAGGATTTTTTGTTAAACATAAAAAAAGACAAGAAGAAAAAAAATCAAAAACAACAAAAACAAAAATAGCACAACATATATATATATATATATAGATATAATGGCCCGTCTTCCAGGCATCTTGGGCCATCTTGGGCCATCTCGGTTGTCTCGGCTGCCTGCCTGCCCGGGCCGTCTCGAGGCCCTACTCGGCCGCCTATAGGGGCCCTCTTGGCCCGCCCTCGAGGCACCTCTTGGGCGATCTCTCGGCTCCCTCCGTTGTGTGCCTGGGCCGTCTTGGACGCTCGGGACGCGGACACGCCGCTTTTTCAGGGGAACGAAAAGTGACATAATAAAAACGCGGAGGTCCGCGCGGATTTCTGGCGCCGCCAGGGGGCCCCAGCGCGGATCCGAGACATCCGCGCGGACCTCCGAGTTTTTATGTTTCTGTCATCGTCTGGTCCCCCATTTTTGCGAGGGATCCGGGCCTCGGGGAACGCGGACCCACTGCTTCTGCACGGGAACCGCTGCCTCGGGTGGAGGGGGGGGATGCACACGCTGGTCCGCGGGCAGAGGGAGGGGAGAGCCCCTTACCAGAGTGCCAGAACACTGCACCACCCTGGCATCGCTCGGACGTGTGCCTTTTTCTTCTCGGCGAGAACCATCGAGGACCATCCTGGACCGTCGAGCAAAAACACAAAAACACGCACGAAACCGACAAATGCACGGGGAATGGGCGTCCGAGCGACGGCGAGTAACAGGAGACTGGTACTGTTGGGGTCCGGCGAGAACTCGGGCCATCGGGCCCACACTCGCATGCGCGCGCGCACGCACGTACGCACGCGCGCACTCACACACAGACACACATATGCAGTTGCTGAACACATACACACACACGGACAGACGGACAGACGGACAGACGGACAGGCGGACAGACGGACAGACGGACAGACGGACAGGCGGACAGACGGACAGACGGACAGACGGACAGACGGACAGACGGACAGACGGACAGACGGACAGACGGACAGACGGACAGACGGACAGACGGACAGACAGACGGACAGACGGACAGACGGACAGACGGACAGACGGACAGACGGACAGACGGACAGACGGACAGACGGACAGACGGACAGACGGACAGACGGACAGACGGACGGACAGACGGACAGACGGACAGACGGACAGACGGACAGACGGACAGACGGAC